CCACAGATCTTTGTCCGATCTCGTCATAGCTTCCTCAAAACTTGCTGGCTCGACTTCATCCGACTTGGCCAGTTTCGAATCATAGCAAAAACGCGCCGGTGGAATTCCTTTGTTGTTTCGAGATGATCGTCGTGGGAATCCCACGAAATCCTCCTCCTCACTTGACGCACCGTCATATGATGATTCTACGTCCTCCACGATGTCATTTCCCGCAAGATCCAACATGGACTGATCCTCCTGAGAAAGGTTCCGTTCCTGAATCCTGTTCCCTTCATCCAAGCTCACTTCCATTCCAGAGGAATTTGTAAGTCACGAACCAACCAACCGAACCAACTCGTTAGCAACTTCAGTGTCGCAAAACTTAGCGTCTCGACTGACATGGATTGTGTCCTTGCTTTGGTCCAAGAATCGAAATCCTTTTCGATGTTCGTCGTACCCGACAAAAGTCATTCGTACAGCCTTAACATCACACTTTTGGTGCTTCTCTTTGGGTACGTCCACCAGGGCCTCGCAGCCAAATACATGTAAATGCTTATAATTTGGCAACTTACCCGTCCACAGCTCGTATGGCGTTCTAGGGATGGGGGCAGAGGGAAGCCGGTTTTGCAAAAAATTCGCCGTCATCACCGCCTCGCCCCAGTACCTCTTGTCCATATTCCAGCCTCGGCTAGCAAGCAGCGCATCATTTCTGTCAAACTCCGGTTCTTTCTCTCAGCAACTCCGTTCTGCTGAGGACTGTATGGTACTGTCTGCTGGAGAATGATTCCGTTGTCCTTCAAAAAACGCTGTAGCGACTGCCCCGAGTACTCCCCACCATTGTCCGCTCGAATAATCTTGGGCTTCTTTCCAAACTGGTTGCACACAAGATTCACAAACTCCTTGATCCTTTCTTCTGCTTCACTTTTCTGTTTCAACAGGTACACTGTGGTGAAACGAGAGAAATCGTCGATCATGGTCATTATAAAGCGATTTCCTCGTGGGGTGGGCACTTCCAGCGGTCCACATAGATCGGTGTGCACCAGATCTAAACAGCCTTTGTTTTTGTTTCGGATGCTGGAAACGATGCTCTGCTCATTTTTCCTTCGCAGCAGACTTTGCAAACCGATCGGATTCCACAATCAACTAAATCCAGATTCGTTCCCAATTCCTCTCGTACGATGCGTTTGATAGCTCCGGGTTCGCGATGGCCAAACTTGCGGTGCCACATGTGCTGACAGTTGTCTTGATGTTGAACCGCAGCCAACATAGCCTTCCCATGTTCCTTTAGTTGGTATAAACTTGCCTTTCGTTCTCCAACAGCGATGACATCACCATTTTTGACCACTTTGCACCCAGCTTTGTTGAAAATAATAACACAACCTTCATCCGCCATCCTACTGACCGAAAGTAGATTTCCCTTTAGAGATGGCACATGCAGAACTACCAGAATCTTCCGAGGATTTCCTTCTCCATCGACGGTAGTCAACCGTGCATCGCCAGATCCGCTCCATGAAACCTTACTTCCATCCGCCAGCGTAATCGACGCACCAACACTTGACACCGTTGTCTTGAAATTCGAAATATCGCTCGCCATATGGGACGTGGCTCCCGAATCCAGATACCACGTAGTACCGCCACTCTGACTTCCACTGATAAAACAAAATTCTTCGCTTTCTTCGTCTTCTTTCACCAGCTTCGCCTTCTGGTATTTTTCCTTCCGCTCCTTCTCCTTACGATCCTCCGCCAGCTTCCAGCAATCCTTACGAAAATGCCCTTCCATCTTACAATAATGGCACGTTTTCTTCGTTTCCGGCTTTCCAGAAAATTTTCCGCCGTCCACTTTCAAAGCTTTGTTTTGATGAGCTGCAAGTTCGTTCCGCCTCCTCCACTCATCCAAGAGCTTTCCTTTGACGTACTCCAAATCCAACTCATCGTCCTTTCTGCTTTCCAGTGCGACAATTAAGCCATCGTAAGACTGTGGCAAACTGGACAATAATCCCCTTTATTCTGCGCCGCGAGTGAGGTGAGGTGACACGCTGTCACTAGTGAGGTGACAAAAGTCACCGCGAGTGAGGTGACTTTCCATTTGATTTTCACAAAGAGTCACCTCACTCGCGGTGACTTTTGTCACCTCACTAGTGACAGCGAGTCACCTCACCTCACTCGCGGCGCAGAATAAGGGGGAATATTGCCGCCGGCCAGATTCCGTTCAACGATTCACCCATCGCCTCTAAACGTTGTGATAACTCCATCACGCGTGCAATGTGATCCGCCATGTTTCCACCTTCCTCAAGCTGCAAGCGTAGCAGCTGCCGCAGCACATGAATTTTGTTCACCAATGACGACCGGTGGTGAAAACTTTCCAAAGCTGTCCACATTTCTTTCGCTGTCTGAGCTTTCATTACGTGCGTAAGCTGACTATTTTCCAATGCAAGTCCGATTATTGCACGAGCTTTTCCATCCTTTGCCAGCCAGACGGCATCCGGACGATCCGGCTTCTGGCAAGAAAGCATCTCGTGCAACTCCTCCTTGATCAAAATCAGCTCCATGCGGAAACGCCACGTAGCATAGTTGGCGTCACCTAACTTTTCCACTACGAATTTTGCGTCCGCCATCTTGAATGTTCTTTTCTCGCACTAGCACAATGAAAACGGGTAAACACACTATTTCAGACGGATACTGTTCAATCAAGCACTTTCACTACTTTCGCGCCGCAGATACCGTGACTGGGCCCATAACCTGTTGGCCACAACAACGAAATAAAACTCAGTTTTTAGCGAAAAACTATAGCATTAGTTTTATTGTGACCGCGTCGTTTAAAAGTTCACATACGGATGAAAAAAGCTTCTTCTCTACAAGCAGCCACGATGTTAGTGTAGACTTCTCGACTGCTACGGCAAGTCCAGTGATGCCGGTGGGATGAGGGGTGAGCCGATGTACGTTGTATCTCCAACAGTTTTTGCATAAGTGGCATTGAAATATTATCGGTTAAAGAAAGTTAAATCACAAAAAAAAAGGTTATTTGTAATTTGTCATACTTATTTATTATCATATATTGCATTTCAATATATATTTGGTCTGAATGGGGGCAAGAAGGATGAGCAGCTGAAGATCCATCTAGAACAGCATAAGAGTACTGGAAGTAAGAAGAGAAGTTCAGATTGCAAAGTACTGTGCTTATCGGTGGAATTAGTAAAATTCCCGAAGGAACCAGTAACACCATACAAGGATCACAGATTACTTTTCAACAACGCTCTGGATCTAAAGATGCTGTGGGGTCCAGACAAAATGCTAACAACTATCATAGAACCTCTCGTACAGTACCATTAGAGCGTGGTCTTAACAAGGGTCACAAAACAAACAATTTACATACAAATAAGTACATTTCAAATTACATGATAAATTTGGGTGATCGTAAAACCAAATACTGTACTGAACACACAATGAACAATCATAACGCAGATAAAATTATTATCAACAACAACAACTGCCAAGACAATAGTACGAACAACAGGAATAGCTATGGAAACTAAAGTCAAAACAATAACAAATTTACTCAAACAAACTGAATACCTACACAGTCAGGTAAGTTCAATGACGTTAATATAAGGTCTGAGCCAAAGGGCTTATTGGTGTTAGTGAAATGTGCAATGGTTAGTGGTGTTCGTATTATATTGCCCATTATGTTGGCCCAGACCTTAAATAAATGTCATTGAGGTAAGTTGATGTACGACAAGAATCAGCTAGCACCAAGAGCAGCCATTCTCGTCAATGGCAAACTAATTTCTTACCAATAACAGAATAAAACCAAAAAAGAGATTGTTATAATCTCAGGTTCCAACTTCGCGTGTAGAGAAGGAAATGTATCTGGCTTCCGCTGTCTTTCCTGGATCTTTTATTGTAAAAGGAACAACAACCCGTTCATTTTCGGATGTGATGCGAATGCTCACCATACAGTATGGAGTAGCACTGAAGTCAATAATCAGGGTGATTTCCTTTTAGAAAATATTGTTAGTAACAATATTGATATTTGCAACAAAGGCTGTGATCCAAGCTTTATTAATTCAATTAGAAAATAATTCTCAAAGCAATATAAACTCAATCAATTGCTCCAACAAAAAAAGCGTAAACAATATTTAACCCGGCTTCAAGAGAAGCTGTCTAGTGATTGTTGGATAACCACACACCAAAAAATTATGAATTTTAATAGTGATGTAAATATCCATGCATGCTAAAATTGAAGCATGTAAACTTTCTTTTTACGTAAACTAGTAACTTGCAAGAAGTATTGCCTACAAAGATGGATGGTTGCATACAATATTTAAAATATTTCATGAAAATCCTCATAAATTTACACGATCTGAAATGTGAATTTGTATGGTATGTGACGCTTTATTTATGTGCATCATAGTGACAGAAATTTACACTACTTTTTTGAACTGTGCAGAAAAAGGTAGAATAAGCACCTTTCAAGTTCGCACACCACTAAACAGCAGGATAACAGCTGTTAAAAAGCGCTAAGGTGATTCCCTTTAAGGTCCACAAATCGCCACCACGTAGGCTATATATACACCTTCACTTCGAATTTTCAATTACACACATCTCGGAAATTAATACCCCATTTCACCTGAAATTGCTTCTTTTTGAATGCTGCAGTGCAGTGAAATGTTCATCGAGAAATGAAGTATAATTTTAAATTAACCAAAATACTGATGAAAGGCTTTGAGCAAAACCAGCTTAACAGAGAGAAGAAAAAAGATCGCTCAGTTGAATATGAAGCCTAGATACGCTGGTTAGAAGCTGGCTAAATTTTGCCAACATGCTGGATCAGCTGCATTTTTTCTTAAATCGATTTCATCCACGAACAATTTTTGGTATGTGAATTTTCTAATGAATGTTGATATAACTAAATGGTAATAATCTATTATTACTATATTTTATTTCTACACCTTTCCAACTCTTTAATCTAGAAATTCGTCGAAGTATACCATAATTCAAACAAATCTTCGTTACCATTACAGGTGGCACTGATATGTCGATCATCACCAGCTGCCTTATCGCAGAGGAATTTGCCTACGGTTGCACCGGTATTATGACAGCCCTCGAAGCCAGCGGTCTTGGAGTAAGTCAAATTCACTGCATTGATCCCCAATAGGTTAACTGATTGTTCCCGTTTTCAGCAAACTCCCGTCATCCTGGCCGGTAATGATGCACAGAAGAAAAAGTACTTGGGTCGTCTGCTAGAGGAACCACTAGTGGCAGCTTACTGCGTGACGGAACCCGGTGCCGGATCTGACGTCAACGGAGTTAAAACTCGGGCCGAAAAGAAGGGCAACGAGTACGTCATCAACGGACAGAAGATGTGGATCACCAACGGAGGTGTTGCCAACTGGTACTTTGTGCTGGCCCGTACCAACCCGGATCCCAAATGCCCCGCATCGAAGGCGTTCACCGGATTCATTGTAGAGCGTGATACCCCTGGAGTGACCCCCGGTCGCAAGGAGCAGAACATGGGCCAGCGTGCTTCCGACACTCGAGGAATCACATTCGAAGATGTGCGAGTGCCAGTGGAGAACGTCCTGCTTAAGGAAGGAGATGGATTCAAGATTGCCATGGGTACCTTCGACAAGACTCGCCCACCGGTAGCCGCCGGAGCCGTTGGTTTGGCACAGCGTGCTCTCGATGAAGCATTGAAATACTCGCTGGAACGCAAGACCTTCGGAGTTCCAATTGCCGCCCACCAGGCAGTGTCCTTCATGTTGGCTGATATGGCTATCGGAGTGGAAACGGCTCGTTTGATCACGATGAAATCCGCTTGGGAGGTGGACCAGGGCCGAAGGAATAGCTACTACGCATCGATTGCTAAGTGCTACGCCGCCGATATGGCCAACAGAGTTGCTTCGGATGCGGTGCAGATCTTCGGAGGAAATGGATTCAACTCGGAGTACCCGGTGGAAAAGTTGATGCGCGATGCCAAGATCTACCAGATTTACGAGGGTACGTCGCAGATTCAGCGAATGATCATTTCCAGGAACATGATTGATGCAGCGAAGGGCAAGGCTTGAGTGTGAGCGGGGCTGTTTTACTGTGTGTTTTTGTGCGAGGAAAACAATCTACATATTGATTCCATTCGGAGGAAAAAAATAACAAAAAGAAACCGTTATCATTTATTTGCAATAAATCTGTTACCATTAAGCTTTTACTGTAATGTTTGTGTGTAGCGTTATCTTCCGAAAGCACTGACGAGGGTGTTGCATACGTACAGGAGTCTAACGTTTGTTTATTTTCCTGTCAACTACTTACATACACACTAAGAAATTATTACCGAATTCGATAATTTTTTACCGCCCTTTCGACAGCTGAACGTTCGGTGAAACTTGGACCCTCATTTAACAAGCTGTTTTATGAAATTTCAATTTCAAAACACTGTCAGCTTTGTTTAAATAATCGAGATTTGCCATTGCGGTGAAGTTGCTAAAACTAATTAAAACTAATGAATTAATCATGTGACGGGCCGCACGTATAAAATAAGTACTCAGAAATTGTTCAATAGTACACTGGACTCGCAATTTACGCGGTCCTGATTTACGTGGATTCCGGAATGTACGGGGTCTCTTTTTTTTTAGACAAATTTATTTAAATTTAGGTGCTCTGAGACTGACATATATTATATTGAGTCATAACAGACGCGAAATTCAGCTCAATCAAACGTACATTCAGTCGCGAAGCACTTAATTTTACATGACATGGTTGTTTACATCTCATCCCCTGCCCTTTGGTTCAGTGAGGGTTAGGGCGCGTTCTGGCCAGGTTGGTCGTGGCAGATTTCATATGTGAGTGAATGATGAACGTTGTTGTGTGCAATCCACTTTAAAAGGTGCGTTTCATATTCCATCACATGTAGTTCCAGAGAGCCTGAACGACACATCTGTTGTCTAATTCTGTTGGGGCTAGAAATCCATTCCTGACTGCTTTTATATTAGTATCGTACCAAGGTTGATCCCTTATTGGAAGCTTGGTATACGGGTCTTCATGAAAATCTTTCCTTGATACCTGGCATACAAAGTAGAAATAGTTTGCACCCGAATAACTGAAAAACGTCGTATGTGTCCCTACAGAACACGGTTCATTGTTATACATAGTAGACAACAATAACCTGTTCCAAAAGTTTTAAGTCCTCGATCGATGGTTCTAGGATCTTCCTATAACCGTGTTGTTTTGCATCTAGAGTAGTGCAAAGAAGTGCAGGGAAAACCGTTCGTGGTGAGCTGTTGTATTGATCAGGTAAGTTTTGAATTTTATTAATACCAGCCTTTGAGCTAAGGGCATTACCCAGCTTCACATCATATACTTAATCTGATCGCATCGGGGATTTCTTTAAAGAAATTACGGTTTTTGAATGTGTCACCTATTCTAAATGAACTAAATTCGGTTTCACATGGAGTACTGGTTATGTTTAGCTCTTTCAAGTGTTGGCTTGTACTACATTAGATTTGAAAATGATATGTCCATAATACTTATGTAAGAAGCAGATAATTAACCAAGATATTTTTGGAACAGAATTTACATGGCGAACGGCTTCTCAACTGCTCAGCAATATTTCTTTTGGAGTTGGTTTGATTACGGCTAGCTTGTTGAGGAATTCAGATTATTTAAAGGAAGAGCTTACTTCATTGAACAAATCATCCAGGCGAAAAATATTCCGTAGTTCTACCTCTTTTTCAGACTCCAGATGAACTCCTTTTGATTCTGCAGAGTGCGCTGTTCTAAGTAGCCAGTGACGTGCTGGCTAATTGTGTCACATAGTTTTTAAAAAAAATCTGAGATTTTGGTTTGGGGTAGTCACACAATACATGCGACATACACTAATCTCTTCCAAAGGATTTAGCTTCTCACACCGATCCTCAGATATTGGAAATGAGTCATCGCATTGCGTGACTGGTATAGAAAAACGGTCTTTGAATCCCGTAGACTGACATGGTTCCGCTGCAATTCTGCAAATTGGCATATCGGTTGCATTAGTTGCATTTTTGATGTGGGCAATCAAACAATTTATTTGTCTCTGAAAAGTGCCCTTTCTGCAGGTGGTTATTTCTGTGGCGATGCAATCCAGGTACATAATCTGGAACCTTATCGCAACAAAAAAAAAAGAACACTCTATCGCTGGTAATGCCTGAAAATAATCAAGCTTATTGAAAAAATAGTCTTGAATTTGCTACCATACCTGTTCCATGATAAAAAAAATTACGCTTTAACTTTCACTGGTCACACTGTTCACTGATTGGTTTTGTGTAAAAAAAAGTCGTCCCACGCTTGACTGTCTGATTTGCCATTTACAGTGTGTTCGGTTGCACCGAAAACTGTGAAAAATCACCGAACTGTTTACCGAAAATTCAGCTGTTTTAATATTTCGGTAAAATGGCTCTGAAATCTGCGAAAAATCTTAGTATGTACAGATGGTAGAATTTCAGGGGCTGCAAAAAGTTTATTTTTCCTGAAAAATTTGAACTTCGTATGAACACTACAGTCACCTCGGTAATCATTGTATCGAACCTTCATAATATGGCCCAGAGTTATTGAAGCAGTCCCAAAAATTGTATTATTAATGGCAGTTCTGTGGTTGTGGGTAATTGCGGGTAGTCAACGACTACTTAGCTGTAAACCGAAAAAAATGTTTGCAAAATAGGTCAAATACAGCAATCTAATCCGAGCAAAATCTCACCGCAAATGACCAATTCCACGCCAAATCGGTCAGTCACCAAACTTGACTATCTTCGATCTGGTTGATACTTGGCACATATTTTCAGTATGATAGACCAAGTATTTTCTGCAGGAGAGGAGACCCTTTTGACTCAAGGGTAATTTTTGAAAAGGGCCTATGTGTTTTTGCACACATACTTTAAAAAAACATGTAGTTCGAAAACAGATGGTTGTAGAAAAAAAATTACTAAGAAGGAGTTGTAGGAAACTAATAAGGCATTATAAAAAAAATATACACGGAATTCTTTTTTTCGTTTTTTTACAAAAAAAAAATAAAAATAAACCTCAACATTCAAATAACAAAAAAAAAACGTATTCTTGATTTTTTTTTTATATTTTTTTAATAAAACATAAATAGAAAGCAGAAGTTTTGAAAACAACTCCAGGATGGACAAACTTTTAATAAAAAAGTTTTTCTAAGAGCAACTTTTAAGGCATTTTTGAAACTTTCATTATTTACGGCAAAATGCTCAGTTTGATGTTAGTACACTGAAGTCTTTTTTTACACGGTTTTTCGCGATTTACACGGTACGTTTTCAACTATTTCTCGACAACGATATAACCTATCGACTTGATTCCAATCACATTATCCGTTTCAAGCTATAGGTAATCAAATGGCATACTAAGAAAAAAATCACAATTTTTGGTGTAAATACAGAAATTTTTAAAATATGTCTATGTGGACCAAAGCATGCTATAATTACAAATGGCATCAAAATCCGATTTTTTTAAACATTTAAGCATGTGAAAAATCAAAATCTCGTAGGTTTTTTTAAACGGTACGTATCCCCCGTATAAAAAAAGACCTGACTGTATATGATTATAAAAATCATTTCAAACGATAGTGCTTATATCGATAAACTTCCTAAATATAACCGTTTTCGAGAAATTTCAAATTTACTTTCATCAAAATCATTTTTTTGTAGAAAATAAGCCATTTTCATAAGTTAATCGTGATTCTCCATCAGCATTGATTAGTTTAGCAAGATACACATATATTTACCTTCAATTTGTCTTTTGACGATTGAACGATCAGACAACCCGTTTAGAATTTACAGGGAAAGTATTTAGCGCCCCATACGTTCATGAAGATATTTTAAAAAATATATTCAATTTGAAATGGCTTACACCTCTGGTAAACATGTTCAGAGGAAAATTGATTCTGCCCCTGATAAACATGTTACGGAAACAATCAATCAAAAATGGTAAAATTGTCTGTGCCTCTGATCGGGAAAAAATTAAAAAAAAAGTTAAATAATACCACTGAACTGTTAAAAGGTTCATTTGATTGAGGTTAAACATTAACGGTGTAAATCCTGATTGGCGGACAAAAGTTGGTGCTACTTAGTGGCGTAAGATAGAAATTTTGACATAATGATAGCATAGCATAGCATAGCATAGCATAGCATAAACCAGGTTGCACAATGTCGTAAAGGGTGATACGGTCAAAATTTGGTCAATTATAACTTGACGTATTTCTTTCAATTTTGCATTTAAAAAACCTGAACACCCCTCATTTTGAAGGTGTGTGTGTGTAGAATGTTGCTCCTATTTTGATTTTGGAATTCACTCTTCAGTTGTCAAAATGCCGTCCAAGCAAGAAGAGCAGCGTATCAAAATTTTGCTCGCGCATCGCGAAAATCCAAGCTACTCGCACGCAAAGTTGGCAAAATCGCTAAAAGTTGCCAAATCAACCGTTACAAATGTAATTAAAGTGTTTGGGGAACGTTTGTCGACAGCCAGGAAGTCTGGATCGGGAGGAAATCGAAAACCGGAAGCCGCTGAGACGACAAAGAGAGTTGCCGGTAGTTTCAAGCGAAACCCTAACCTCTCTCTCCGAGATGCCACAAATAAGCTGGGTGTATCGTCTACAACCGTGCATCGAGCCAAAAAACGAGCCGGACTATCGACTTACAAGAAGGTAGTGACTCCAAATCGCGATGATAAACAAAATACGACGGCCAAAGCGCGATCCCGGAGGCTGTACACGACGATGCTGACGAAGTTTGACTGCGTGGTAATGGACGACGAAACCTACGTCAAAGCCGACTACAAGCAGCTTCTGGGACAGGAGTTTTATACGGCAAAAGGAAGGGGATAGGTAGCAGATGTTTTCAAGCACATGAAACTGTCAAAGTTCGCAAAGAAATATCTGGTTTGGCAAGCCATCTGTACCTGTGGCTTTAAAAGCAGCATTTTCATAGCTTCCGGGACTGTCAACCAAGAAATTTACGTGAAAGAGTGTTTGAATAAACGTCTGCTGCATTTCCTGAAGAAACACGGTTGTTCCGTACTGTTTTGGCCGGATTTGGCATCTTGCCATTACGGTAAAAAGGCCATGGAGTGGTACGCCGCCAACCACGTGCAGGTAGTTCCCA